TTCCTATTCCCCCGAATCAGCCAGCCAAATTGCGGTCGCCATTAAAGTTGTTTTTCAAAAGTCGTGGTGCCTCTCAATTTTGCTCCAGACGGCGTAGTATCAAAAAAATTGAGACCAAATGATGGGCAAACAATTCTGGAGTACGTCTCCTCTATTCTTTCCCCTACTATCGCTTCCATTATTTTCACATTTGCATTGTCCATTGTTTTAGGAGGGCGCCACCGAATCACCAAAAAAGGATTTTGAATACTTCCAGTCATCGTAGGCCAGACTGCCATTGTAGCACGTACTTAGTAAAAAGCAGTACAATGGTAGTAGTGGACCGGGAATTAGGCATTACACTCCGGGATTACACGATATATAATGAAGCAGCAGTTCTTGATTTAGTGGGTTTAGTAAGGCAATGTACTCCTTTACCCTCTTCCAAGAACATTATTAATCTATTGCATTTTTCCAAAAAATGTGAGAAAATATATACCATTGATAGAGAATTAACTTTGCTATATTCAATTATTTAAATAAATTTAGTAAATTCAAGAAAGTAGCCCATCATTTGCAACCGGTTCTTTTGAAATAATGGGGATCCCGTTTTTCTAATATCAATAAAAGGCGTGTTTTTGAACAATTCTACACCATTAATTCTACACCTATGCTAATTTTAATTTTAACAATGCAACAGATTTTTTGCTTTTTCGGCCAAAAAATACCAACGGCCAGACTGCCATTGTAGTGTTACATTGTACTTACTGTAAAGTGTTTTTACTCAAGTTGGAGTTTCGATTCGGGACCAAGTGCATCTTGTGCAGAATTTTTCGCTGATTCCGAATCCGCTTTCCAAATTTGCTGCGGACTTTTATTTTGAAAGTTATACAGCAGTTATGGTAGTGTTTTTCACCAAAATCAAGGAACCGTTATCGTTTTCGATTTTCCTGATCAATTTCAACTTCAAAATTGGCTAGAGATTGGCTAGAGAAGCATCTTAAAAGTCAAAACAAGCTTTTTATAAAAAATTAAATTTTTTGATGCAAAAAGCAAAAGAAAGGTGCAGGGCGGGATCCGAACCGCCGCCCTGCGCTTGGCAAGCGAGTACTTTGCCAATGCACCCTGGTGCCAACCGGGTGGCGAGCTGTGACAAAGTAATTCAGGGTAAACACTTACTACACTTACCAGTTATTAAAAAGCAGTACAATGGTAGTAGTGGATCGGGAATTTGGGTTTTACATTCCGGGTTTGCACGATATATAGTGATGCAACACTTTTTGCTCCAGTGGCTTTCGTAAGGTACTATACTTCGCCGCCCACCCGGGTGGGTCCCCCCTGGGGGGGACGGAGGGGGGACTGGGAGGGGGGACCGAGGGGGGGTCCCCCAGGGGGACTCCCCCCCCCCCTCCCTTGGGTGGTAAATACTTGCTGGGCCGATTTACAGTATGCCGATTATTGGTATGCCGATTATTGGTATGCCGAATTTTCGCAATGCCGAATTTTCACTATACCGAATTTTCACTATACCGAATTTTCGCTATACCGAATTTTCGCAATGCCGAATTTTCACTATACCGAATTTTCACTATACCGAATTTTCGCTATACCGAATTTTCGTTATGTTGAATTTTTGCTACTCTATTACTAATATTCTCTACTAATATTAATCGCTAAGATCGACTGGGACTTTGCGGTGCGACAAAATCGGGCCCTACGATCTGCCCGAGTTTTTGGAAATTTCAAGGCTAACCCTAACTATCTAGGCCCATGATATTTGGAAAAATAGTAAAAAAATGGGGAACATACCGCTTATCAAAATTCGGCATGGTGAAAATTCGATATCGTGAAAATCGGCATGGTGAAAATTCGTTATACCAAAAATTCGGTATAGCGAAATTCGGTATAGCGAAAATTCGGCATGGCGGAAATCGGCACAGCGTGTTTTGTTCACCATTTTAGAACTAACTTTAATTTGACAATGGTTTACGTGGAAAAACCATTCACAACTTTGAAAATCTTTTTCAGTGGATTTTCATCGAAAATCCACGATTTTGAGCGATCCAATAACCGATATTTTGGATTTTTCATAACGCAAAATTGCAATATTTATATTTATGAATTGTCGAAAACAGATGAGAAACATTTAATCTACCTATAGAAAAATTACACCCTTAGCCGAAAAAGATTGTTTATAGTGGGCGGTGGGGGGGAGGGGAGGGGGAAGAATCCCCCTGGGGTCCCCCTCAGTCCCCCCTCCCAGTCCCCCCTCCGTCCCCCCAGGGGGGACCCACCCCGGGTGGGCGGCGAAGTATAGTAAAGTCGGAATCCATACCAAGTTTCGTCGATTTTTCTATAATCTATCATCAGGGAGAAAAGTAGGCGAGAGACCATAAAAATACGTTTTTCTGAGAAAATATGCAATGCCCCGTCCTGCTGGCAATGCCCCGTTCTGCTGGCTTTGCCCCGTTCTGCTGTCATTGCCCCGTTCTGTTGCCAATGCCCCGTTCTGTTGCCAATGCCCCGTTCTGTTGTCATTGCCCCGTGCTATCGGTACAGAGCCGAACATCTAGCCTGTCTTTAGGCAATCGGTATCGTCACGTAGATTTTTCAGAGTTTGCACAGTAGACTTAAAATCCGCTTTACTTCTTAAATATATTGCTTTCGGCGGAAGCTGCACTCAAAAAAAAAGTGATTTTGTCAGATATGGGCTTAAATGACTCGCGAAAAAAATTACCACCATGATCTCCACGCCGCATAACTGATGTACTTCGTTGCGCGTACTACCAAGCCGAAGTTGACTACGTAGCCCTCCGGTGCACGCTTATGTACCTTTTCTTCTAGATCGATGCACCGGGATTAGATTTGGCTTGAAGTTATTTTCGCTTCAATACGCATTTGGTAACGGAATTAGCATAATTTTCAGGGTATTTCTATTTTCTAGAAACACCAGGGTTGAAAAACCGCTTCGCGGCTTTTCAACCCTGGCCCCGTTTAGCCCTGTAAAGTTCTCAATTTGCATGCTTCCTGAATTCTAGAAAGAAAAGTGAAAAACGGAAATCTTGATTAAATATCCGTAAAGTCCACTACGCGAAGTATTACATGAATACGATTACATGCGCTAAAAAAGTACCAAATAAGTTCCAAAAATTATTGTATAACAAGAATATGTTAGTATCGAATAAATTACGGAAAAATACAAAGCGTAAAAAATAGAATTAAAAAAACGAGTAAAGCAATTCGACCATTGCAAGTTTTTTAGAAGATTCTATCTTACAAAACTAGCTACGATATCCAAATTCAAATCTCGGAAAAAGCTCGGCCATTAGGCATTCCGTATCGTAATCGAATGCAACCATTTTTTAGTCACTTTTCTCTATTTTTCTTTGCGATTTCTGCACTTTCAAATCCAGTTTTTTAGCTGCATTTATTACTAAGAACCGCTTTGGCTCCATTTCTTAGAATTGAAGCACCGCTGCTGACCTTCCCCGAAAAATTTGCTTCCTAAAGCTGCCGTGCTTTGGAACCCTCATTTCCCTAAAAACCCAGCGTAAACCCGCGGAAAGCCAATCTTTTTGCATTCCCATCGAACATGCTCGCGCGCTAATAAGGCTGAGAAAAATTCCACAGTATGCTACGCGCAAAATTCCGGGTTTTCTTGAGCTTTGTTTCCAATTTTGCTGATTGCGGAGAGGGACATCTACTCGTTTAGATTCGGAAATGGAGGCCTATTTTCTGCATAATGCCGTCGAGTCGGACCCGCGGTGGAGCTGTCGGTAGGTATAGAAGAGATACATTGCATTGAAATATTCCATGAATTTAATTGCATTAATTAAATTTGATAAAGAGTTTATTAAAAATTCCTAGCTTAGTAAACCAAAATGAAAATTTTCTATGTTACAAGCAGCAGGCAAAATGCCAGGGTTGGTCATTTTGACTTGCCCGCCCCCCCCCCCCCCCCCCTCGCCGGGTCCGGCCCATGGGTCCGAGTCCAGGTCCGGGTCCGGGTCCGGAAGTTGCGGTATTTGCATTTATTTGAGATAGAGATTTAAGATTCTAATTTTCCTCGGAAAAAGACAACGGCATTAATTATAATGGTTTATCCCGTATGATTCAGGTATATAGGAGTCGAGACCAGAGCATCAAATCACAAATCGTGGCAATTTTTGGCAAAAAAATAACGAGAAATTGCTACATTCCTGGCGTTATGGGGTGACAATTGGTTACGATCGGTTGTTATACAATGTTTAACTAGGCTAAAATAATAACAGGCCGAAGTTAGCAGACGTGAGAAATGTCGTGCAATATCGTGGAATTTATCCAGAAATCGGCATGCAAATGACCCGGACCCACCCGGACCCGGACCTGGACCCGGACCCGGACCCGGACCCATGCAAATTTGATCGGGTCCGGACCCGGACCCGGACCCCCCGGGTCCGGACCGGGTCCGGGTCCGGGTCAAAAAAGACCAACCCTGCAAAATGCTTACCTACGATTATTTGCATATCTCGAATTCAGAATTTCCGTGTGCATGCTTAAAGCATAGCAATGCTGCCTTATCAACCTCAAATTACGATATTTACAAAATTTCCCTTAAACCACGATACTACAAAAAACAGCGCTTTTCGCCAGGCCAAGCAAGCTTTTTTTGAATGGCTATCGCGCCAATGATCCGGGTCGCCAGCCCCCGCATAGCCCTCCCCCACCGCAGCCCCACACCGTGATCAGGTGGCCGAGTGGTTAAGGCGTTGGACTGCTAATCCAATGGGATTTTCCCGCGTGAGTTCGAATCTCATCCTGATCGAAGCTTTTGCTTTTTTGAGGTTTGACGCCGATAATGCGTTTTGCAAGCGCACGGACATGGTAGAATCCCAAATTTTTACGTTTTTCGAGAATTTATCTGACATAAATTAGCGTGTGCGCAAAAAAAAACCGGAGAATCGTGTCTAAAAATCAGGGATTTCAGTAACGTCACCGAGTCTTACGCGGAACTTCAGTCACATCATGAACGGCATCCGATCATGGGAATCGCGTACATGTTTGGAGGGCTCTTCTTTCAGGTACTGTAATTTGGTGTATCTTTAGTCGTATGGCTGCAAATAACAATCATCTTGTTCTTTAGGTAGCCTACATTCTGGCGCTTACCGTCATCTGCTCCCGCGATTTTCTGAGTTTTTCTTGTTACAAGCTGATGGCGACACTTGGTAAGTCAAAAATCTTATGTTATCAAAGAATTTATGCTTTCTGACTAGTTATATTTAGCTTCATTTTAGGCTTCATGGATCTACTATGCACTTGCTTCAGCGCACATCTTTCCGGGTTTTTCTATATCGTCGGGGCGGAGTACTGTATGTACCCGCGGCTACAGTACGTCAGTGGAGCTGTTATTGTTGGTAGGTCTTGTTCATTTCGTTAACTTCATCGATTTTATAAGTTGTTGTGCTTAAAATTCGTAATTCTGCTTGCGAAAAAAAAATCCACTTGACTCAAATTTAAAAAGAATTCATTTGAACAATTAAAATAAAATATAATAATTTTAAGACAAGCTAAATTTGAAAGTTTAATTCCAGGCTCCTTCGCTACCGTTTGCCAACTCTCCAATGTACTTGTAATCAATCGTATCATCGATTTTTGGCGGCCACCGTTGGGAAGATTTTTGTTTGAGGTAGGCAATCAATTTGGACGAGTTTTCGATTTATTTTAATGAATCAAGCGATAATCTTAGGGGGCTCAAACGTGGATCTACATCATCGTTATCCTCGCCTACGGATTGGTGGCGATTTGGAAGGCTCCACCCGTGGTATTCAGCGCGGATTACGGAGCCTGGATCTTCCATCCACTTATTCCGGGCAAGCTGGATTATCAGGTAACGATTAAACCCTAGAAAAGAATAAAGATTGCGATAGAAATCATTAACAAAACTTCATAAAGTTTGTTCCAAATGAGCATTTAAATGCGCTCATTTTACAGTACGCCTCTCTCTTCCAAACCGTCAACAACCTGGTGACATCAGCTGTTATGTCCATTTGCTACGCGGGAATTTGTGCACTCCACGCGTACAAATTAAAGGACACGGTCACCACCCGGAAGACGTCGATGCAGAAAAAGGTACCTGAACTCGTACTGAATTCCCCGGGTAATCAGACTGGGGTTTAATCTGATTTAATCGGGTTTAATTTAAAGGGCTGCCGACGGCATGTGTCGATCCCCCCCTCATCAACAAATTGGCAAGTAGCCAACAGGGCAGAGAGGGCGCCCAGGGGGAGAGGCGCAGAGACATTTTCTTTCCAGCGCGTAATCGATTCACTTATGCCGCCCCTATCTCTTTAAAGAGATTTTCAAGCGCTCATTACTAGCGGAGAAGGTCTTATGGTGATGAAATACGCTGAAATTCCGTGGCACTGAGATAGCACAATCAACGTTTTTTCAACGTGTATGTCTTTCAGATCCTGTTCCAATCCCTCTGCGTATGTTTCTTCACCTTCACGACGACTACGCTGTGGGGCTCTATGCTATTTTACACCCCCAGCAACTTTGTGATGCATCTGGGGCAGACAAGCTGGCATTTGATGCATGGTGGGTTCGCATAAAGGAAGGCAATCTAGCAGATATCCTTTTTGCGGTCAGCTCGCTTTTGCTCCATAGTTTTATCTTTTCGCGCCCGTTTTCGTTCTCGTCCCGGTTCTGGCGCGCGCTCGCTTCTCTCTCTCTCTCTCTCTCTCTCTCTCTCTCTCTCTCTCTCTCTCTCTTTCTCTCTCTCTCGCTTTCCGTTAATTACCCAGGATCTGGTTAAGCTGTTTAATGCATGCTGCAAAACACAAGTTTCGGGGTTTAAAGGGGATTTACGTTCATTTGGCATAATTTTCATTTGGCATAATTTCATTTGGCATAATTTTCCTTTGGCATAATTTTATTTGGCATAATTTTCATTTGGCATAATTTTCATTTGGTATAATTTTCATTTGGCATAATTTTCATTTGGCATAATTGTCATTTGGTATAATGTTATTTGGCATAATGTTATCCGCTCATCAAATCAAGAATTCCCATAACAGAATCGGCAGTTCCTCAAGGAATTGGGTGCCTATCAAGTTCGGCTCGATGTCAAGTACGAAAAGATGCGCCAACGCGGTTCGAAGAAGAACCGAAGAAGTCCGAACCCCCCGCGGGTCGTATTCCACCCCGCAACGTCTTTGTCCTTGTCTTTGTCTTTACCTGTGATGTTGTGTGATATGAATAAACAGGCTAAATTATGCCAAATAGCATTATGCCAAATAACGTTATGCCAAATGACAATTATGCCAAATGAAAATTATACCAAATGAAAATTATGCCAAATGAAAATTATGCCAAATGAAATTATGCCAAATGAAAATTATGCCTAAGGACATTATGCCAAATGAAAATTATGCCAAATGACATTATGCCAAATAAGCGTTCACCTTTAAAGGGAGAGTGATAGATCTCCCTAGGGAGCCGGCTAGCAAGGCTTATTTGATTTAGGCTTATTTTCTTAGTAATTTTTGTTAAATTCCAGGAATCCCTTCGATGGTCTACCTGTTCCTCAACAAAACCATCCATCGGCGAGTATTCGGCAAATTCGCCTTCTTCTCCTACCGAGCCTCACCGAGCAGCATCAAGCCCGTGTCAGCAACACAAAAGGAAGAGGGCTCGAAAACCCACTCCAACATTGCCCCCATCTCCAGCAGCAATTTGGAATTTTGATTGTCTGGCAAGCGCCGCATAATTGTCATGACTCACATTTTTCGACATCTTTTCTAAACCCCAGCCCCTCTTAATTAGCATTTGTCTGCCTTTTGGAATGCATTCGGACCAATTTCTTACCAGACTCCGGGAGGTCACCTGCAAAATAAAGCATAATTATGAGTGAGTCAGCGTTTATAATTTGGGGCAAAGTACGCAAAATAATAAAAGTCAGTCCAAAAATATAGGAAGTCAAAAACTTTAAATCGACGGTCTTGAATACTCCCCAAAAAAATCATGAGGTGAAACGCAGGGAGAGAGAGCGTCAGAGAGAGAGCGACAGAGGAAGAGAGAGAGAGAGAGAGAGAGAGAGAGAGAGAGGAGAGAGAGGGAGAGAGGGAGAGAGGGAGAGAGAAGAGGAGGGAGAGAGAAAAAGAGAAACAGGTGAAAAGTAATAAGGGTTTGGTTTTTGTGTTAATTTTTTCGATTCAGTCCAAGTTCAGACATCAGCTTCCCAAAAACGTATTTACTGAAAAACTGTGGCTAAAGATTGAAGTTGTGAGCCCAATTTGCATGTGAAAGTGCCGTTTTGTTTTTTGGGCGGGCTGCTACATATGAACATGTTTTGAGAAAATTGCGACCAGGTTCACAGGCTGTCCAGCACTGTCTGTCTGGCTATTCTCTAGCCGTTAGTTTAGCCTCTATCTAGAGTACTAACCACAGTTTCCCGCATTTTTGTAATTTTTAGGGTAACGCCTGTAACGTGTAATTAGCGTAGAAAGATGCGCAAAAATTTTGTGCGTAGGATGATGTATTTTCTAGGATGGATTGTGGATCCCCCTTCAAAAAATAACAGTTCCTGAAAGGTAGAAATGGGACGAAAAAATAAGCATTAAAAATTTGTGCGCGTTTCTTCGAGTCTTCTTCAACAGTTATAGCTTCTTTTGGATGCACAAAATGTTTTCAATAGAAAAGTCAGCCTGAATTGAAGGTCCGATAAACGAAAATAAGCTTTTCGTAAAGTTTAATTCCTTCGTGTTTTTTGGCCATGCCTTTATTTTTTAGAGAACGATAAAATCGGAATTTCAATGCTACTAGTCCAAAGAATTTTTATCCTGTACGGTCCCTACGTTTCCACTGAATTGCCCCGAAAAATGTCACATTACTTTGGACACAGTTGTAGAGATTCCGTTCCGGAATTCCCCCTAGAGACCCCTTCGTAGGAGCTGACGGTAACCACAATTTTGCGGTTAATTCTTTGAAAATTTCATCTTTTTTTGCTAGACCTTCTGATTCATCGGGTTTAATGCGAGCCAAGGGAGCTTAAGTACCGCAAAAATTCCTCTACTTCACCATACTACAATACAGCAAAATCACGCGTGCTGCGTGCGTGCATTTGGAACGATAATCTTACCCAGCCATCTTTGAGTTTTACCGTTATTTTAAGCCAAATTACTTTGATTCTCTATTTCAGTTAAGACCAGGGTTGAAAAGCCGCTTCGCGACTTTCAACCTGGCCCCGTCAAACCCTATGATGTTCTGCGTTTTGCATAATTGGGCCCAATTCTGATGACAAAAAATGAAAAACTCCCTTCGGGCCTTTATATAGGCTACTGCAACTTCCGGCGTATGCTAATTTTATCTTAACACAGTGGCTGTCGGAATTTTTAAGAAAAACTTAATTTTAATGTTGAAAACAACATATTTTTACAAAAATCCGATATGTGTGCAGTCATCTCCAGCCCATTACGCATCTAATGACGTATCAAACACCTCCTCAAACCCATCCCTTCTCGAGATATCCTCCGGACACCCTGACGGAAGTTGCATGCAAATGCACACACACACACGAACACTATTTTTTTATATATAGTAGGA